TTTTCTTTCAAAATTTTGTCCAGATTGTTGTTACTGGGCCTTCCTTTTCACAAGTTGACCAAAGCTACCTTTTTAAACCTTCCATCCCACAATAATTTGTCTTAGCAGGCAAAATTTAAGGTCTTTAGACACATGATTTTAACACTCATGCAGATGAAACACAAGAATATTAAACTATGAGTAATTAATCTTCATTGTTTATAGTTTACCTTTTGGTTGAGGGGCCGGGTTGTCTTCTCAGTACATCCTATTATTTACAAGGTCAGAAAAAGTATGCCTGGATCAATGTGACCATAGAGGCTCTTTAGCAGGAGTCTAACATTATGAATGTACAAAGACTATGTTTTACTGGTTTTCTCTACCCTAATTCTTTTTCAACTATTGTTTTTCTTCAAAGAATATATATGCATTTATTATTATTCATCAATTTTTAAAAACTATTATTAGTATATGCTTGCAATACATAATGACAACATTCACTATAGGAAATTTGTTTGTGTATATAATACATTTCAATTATTTTTTTCCCTTTTTTTCCACTCTTATTTTTCCAGCACAAAATCTTTTTTAAGTCTTTATGTACATTTATTTATTTCATTTAATTTTTTAAAAATGTTTTGGTACTCGGGATAAAACCCTGAGACTTCACACTGAGTTAAATCCCTGTGCTTTTTACAAATTTATTTTGAGACAGAGTCTCACTAAGTCACTACATTGCCCAGGCCAGTCTTGAACTTTTGGTCTTTCTGACTATGTCTTCCACCATGCTATGAAAAATTCATCAAATACAAGATGAATGAAATGCCAAAATAAGGAAACAATACAAAGATATGAAGATAAATAAACAACAATTGTATTTAGTAAAAGGATGGCACTCACTTTGGCTGAAATAAAGAGCATGTAGCAGAAATTCGGGGATCTGATTGGAAGGCACATTAATGAAATAAGCTTGTATTTGACCCTATAGATTTCGAGAGAAACATATTTTTGTAAGGCAAAAAGAGACATTCTTAGCTATAAGCTTCAGGGTTATTGGGTAGAATTCAGTGGTTAGGAAATTAATCTGATCACAATGTGTCATAGTGTTTAAATGGGGCATGGAAGAGCCACGGATTCCAGGAGAGATCGCCAACGGCGTAGAACAGAGACAAAGCAGAAGATGGCTATAAACAATGTGGCATGATTTTATCACTTCTTTTTAATGGACCACTGGTTTAAAACTCTTCTCCAACTTAGTGAATATGTGCTCCTAAAGTATTTTCTCAGAATTGGCACTCACTGTCCCACGTGTGAGTTGAAGGCACCCTGCTTGCCGGTGGTGAGCATGAGCACACATCTTGTTCCTCTCATTGAAGTAGTTCTAGAACAATTTTTGCCATTGCCCACACTTTATTTTTTTGGGCACCGTTATCTTTAGTTTGTATACTCTTTCAACAGGTTGTCTTTATCCTCTGCTTGTTACCGTCAAATACTTCGTTGTTTTTTCTCCCTTACATATTATATAAAAATTTGATTCATATTTCTTTGATTTTTGACATGTGATTCTGTCTCTATCACAATTTTTCTAATTATACTATATTTGAATTCTATTTACATGTCTATTTTTTTTAGGTCTTTGTCTTTATTTGTGTAAAATCTCTTGTTACAATCATTTATTAAATATTTTTACTAAATGGATTTCAAAATATTCTAGAAATTTAAAGGGACTAACACATACTTATTTCCTTTTCTGTGTCTAGATCATTTCTACTTGTTAGTATTATAAAATGATTTATATTTTACCTTAATATTTCTACCAATTTTTAAATTTATGTTTGCTATTATCATAACTTTTATTAAAAGAAAGTCTCGTGTCCTTTCTTTCTTACCCTTGTAACCTACCAAACCTGTAACTCACTTTCTTCTTTCTCCTTTTGGTTAAGATGTTTCAAGATCTTAGCGTGCAGAGCATTATAAGTATCCTTCAATCACTCTTCTTGTAAATTGATTCTAAACACTTGGCTTCAAATATTATTTTTGGTTACTGACACTATTATCTTTCTTAAGATGCAACTGAAATTCCTCTCAAAACCACTCATCTCGGGTATTAGAAAAGGCCTGCATCTCTAGTTTTTCCTTTCAAATTTCCCTTGTGGAGTACGCACTTTCATAACTATGAACCTTTACCTCTCTCAGTTTGTATCAATTCTGCATGCATATATCTTTCCTCACTCCTCAGATCCCTCAGATGTAACAAAGAAAACCAGTGAATTGCCTGTTAAACACCTGTCTGTCTTATTCTCCGTTGACTTCTATGAAAAGCTCTTCACAAACAATACACCTTCTTGTCTGATTTAGTTTGTTTATGGTGTTTTTAACAGCGTAATATGTTATTTCTTTCCAATCTTAAAGTAAGCTGGTGGGATGCCTTGGTTTGGGGATAAATGTTAGTCACTATTGACTGAGTCCTGGCATGATTTCATTGAATCAGCCCAATAGTCCAGCATAACAAATATTAAAATCTTTCCAAATGGGTTTCTTTGATATGCAAAGATTCAGTCAAAGGAAAAAGCAAGAGCAAGGATTAAAATCACAGTGTGAAATTCATGAAAGGGAAGCAATTGCTCAAACTTGCTCTGCTGCTAATATCAGAGCTTTGTTTAACCCATTAGAACCCATATAAATGGTGCAGACCTACACTGGACTTAGCCAGGTCATACCTGGATGAATAAGGTAGATAGATCCTTAAAATTTCAGACCCCTAAATTTGATTTGATAATGGAGTTAAAGACACTGAAATTTCTGACTTCAAGGAGAAACTAGTGTCCTTGTATATTGGAATCATTTTCTGTGTATTATGGGCTTCGGGTCTGGCTCCATTATATCTGCATATGTTGGAATATTTTTTAAAAAATCAAGTCACACTTTTATCCTTTCAAGTTTGCAAAAATGTCACCTTTCATTACCTGTCATTAATAGTAGTACTTATTTCGGAAGCTCATCTTTTCCCTCAACACTATCTGCCTTCCATACTTCTACAGAATGAAAGTTAAATAACCCAAATGATAACTCTGCAATTATTACAGAAAAAAATACCAGCTACATTAAAATGAACTGCACATTTTTACTTGTCATTATTAGAGAATATATGTATAGAATATGAAAATAATAATTTGCACTCATCCAGCTTCTTTCACTCTAGTGTTTCAAATCCCTGAGTGTAAATGGTTTCATTAAGTTTACCAAACCAATTTTACTCTAACATGATCTTGAACCTTCTCTCCAAATCCAGTGAGGCCTTCTTGTCACAAATGCTGAACATTACCATTTGAAATTCTGAGCATTCTGCTGATATGTGTGACCTTCTGAGGACAAAACTCATTTAATCATTGAGTGATGTTCTAAAATAGACAAATTATATAAAGGAAAAAGAGAACTATGATAATGTATATTTACCTAATTCTACGCATGCAGCTCCAAAAGTACTCACATATACAGATTAGCTGAGTTTACATATGAATGGATTAATTTCAATGAATAAATTTTTGGCTATAAGAATAGAAAAGCTAGTGGGAGTGATATATCTAAACCTATGGAAACAACATCTGTTGGTTTTTAAAACTTCATTTAGGCAATGAATACTACTGAGACATTTATTATACTATATGTTAGGGAATATGAAGGATACAAAGATAAGTTACTTATGGGAAGTGAATCAGTGCCTACTGAATTCCAGGACAGTGTGGAATATTGTGAACACTCTGAAGGCAGGATCAAGATATATATACTTAGTTTTCTTTCCCCATTACCTAATGTTGTGATTTGGTGCTGATCTTTGCTTGGTAAATGTATAATGAACAAAATAAAACATTTAAGTGACCTAGAAGTGCAAAGGGGGAAAGATTACTTCTGTCTAATGTGATTCAATAAAGTTTTCTGGAGTTCAAAGTATTTGATATGAACCTAAGGGATGGGTCAGTGGTTCCAAATACAGTCAGCGAAGCCATAAAAGACACAGAAATAGGAAAGTTCAAGAAAGCTCTTAGGAGTATCAGATTATTCAGTTTGGTGGACCAGCACAGGAAATCTATGAGGAACAGCAACAAGATGATAAGATTGAAAAGTTAGACTAGAGTGAGACTGTCGATATCTCAAATGTCAAGTGGGGGCGTGCAGATTTTATCTTTGAAGTAAGGTCCAAATATGGCTGGTTAGATGGCTATTTTCCTTCTTTACTTCTGAGGTTATTAGAGACAGTTTTCAGAAATAGGTTCTAATTAATTAATTATATTACCACTCTGTGAAGCCTCCAAAGAGAGGGCCAACCCCGATGAGGGCCTAGGGAAGTAGAGAAGGCATTTCTGAAAATGGTTGGTGTTGAACAGCATCACTGGTTTTGAGGCTTTTGCCAAACCCTTGTAAAATGTCATGTGATGTAATACTCTAATCACAGGCGACCTTTACTCTAGTCTCCGAAGACTTAAACTGTGAATCTCAAAAGATGAAAAGAAGTCCAGCAGCAAAAGTTTCCTTAGAGCTCTCTAATACAACATAAAATGCATGTCTAATGAGAGGTTGATGCTTATAGGGAAACTGAATACAGTATGTTTCCTAGATACAGAAAGCCACTTGGTTTATTCACTGCAAACACAAATAGAAACTTGTGGAAACTTAGGTACAATACATGCCTTAAGGAACTTCAATGCAACTTTGTTGCAAAAGCAAGAATTTAGATAATCCAATAGATATTTTCTTCACCTGAATTGGTATCCGAAATCTCCCTCAATTGAAAAGAAAGCTCTGGAAAATATTACGCATAGTATATTTTTATACAAAGGAACACATGCAAAATGACATTGGCAAAAGCTATAAGAGCTGCTCTGCTTTTTGGAACGATAACTTTAGCTCTGGTAATTTTCCTGAAACTGATAAACATTGCTGATTAGCACATTTGGTATCTGTTTCTTTCCTGTCTGTACAGCCAGATTAAGGTGATACATTTCCGTAGTTCACAAACTTACCCACAAATGTGCGAGATCCATATCTGTGTAAGACGCTTTGAGAAATGAGTGGCGAGCACAGAAGAAGTGGTTGCCCCAAGGTCCAATTTTGGCAATTTGGAAATCAGCACATGTGCCTAGAGAGTTTTCTGGAAATGATTTCCAGCTGCTCCACACTGGGACTTCACCTTCACAATGAGGTAATTTTAAGTTGTATCCACTCGAAGTGCTGTATCTATCCAGGGATGAAGAAAGAAACTCCAATCTAATATCCATTTCCTCTTTTGTCCTTGTATTAACATTGTTGACTTTCTTTTCTTGGGATTTAGTTAATTTCATACAGGAAACCAATGTGTCATCTTCATCTTCTGAATGACAGAGAAATGTAAGTTAAAAATTAAGTCTGTCTAGTAAGTCTTTAGATGTAGAAATAATGACTACTCCTTTTTGTACTCTAGAAATAAATGTAAAATTAAGATAAACCAGAAATTCACAAATTTACAATGTTATTTCTTTAAAAGGTCAGTTGTTTTATGTTATTGTTTTATAAAATTGGATTTAACTCAAACATTTGGAAATCATATTGACTAATTAATATTAATTGGACTGAAATGAATGGGAGCCACATGCCAAAAACATACTTCCAGACAATTTAGAAAAATCACAAATGTAAAAGTATTACCCACATTTTGTAAATATAAAATAATGTGCTTCTATCCTTAAACACTTGTATATTTTTTGAGGTCACATGTATAATAGAGAAGCATAAGAAAACAAATGAAATTCTTTGCCTTACTTAAAGGAATGAAATCTCATGGACAAAGGCAGAAACACAACTGTCATTCTAAAATTTTACTTTTGAATATCAATCTTCAAAGAGATTTATTTGAGAAACCTGTCCCACAGTGCAATATATTGGAAAAGCAAAGAAACCCCCTCCCCCAAAAAACAAGGAAATGAAAACCAAAGGCATATTTTAAGTACAATGAAGTTTACTAATGAGATTTATATGTCTATAATATGGTGATTCAACTGATTACCTTTCTAGCAAAATAGTCCTCTGTTATTCACAGAGGTCACAGGGGGTGTGACTTAAGATTCCTGTGGGTACCTGAACTGTGGATGGTACCAAATCCTAAACATGCATATTTTTATATATGTACATATTATGATAAAATTAAATTTGTACTTTGAGTAGAGTTAAAGATTAAAAGTAATAGTAAAGTAAACCAATTATAACAGTGTACTGTTCTTAAGGTTATGAAAATGTGGTTCTCTCTCTCTCCTTCTCTCTCTCTCTCTCTCTCTCTCTCTCTCTCTCTCTCTAAGAATAGGTCCACGTATTTGTGTCTCAATGCTTTTGGGCAGGTAAACTATATAGCATGGATATTCCTGACAAAGGCATGATTCATGTGCCTGGCTAGACAAAGCAGGACAATGTCAAATTTCATTAGATTATTCAGAAGGGCTACGAATTTAAAACTTGTGAATTGTTTACTTCTGAAATTTTCCATTAATATTTTGAAATGACTGTTGATCACAGATAACTGAAACTGTAGGCAGTAAAACTTCAGAAAAAGAGAGATGATTTTAATATGTAAGCGTTAGAGATAACAAAATTATGTATCACACAAAGTGAATTGTTCTAAATTATTGAATTTCTCTAAATTTAAATGTTTACTGATGTGATACCACATTGTGATTCATAATGCATTTTTTGTAAATAAATAAATGAAATGAAAGCCACATGATATTGGCTTGTCATAGACATACCAATTTGTTGCATTTATGCTAAAATTCAAAACTATTATTTTCTATGGTCACAAAATGGGGATAGTGAACATTTCTAAGACATATTTTCCCTCCAAGTTTCATTCACAGCTGTCTCTTACTCTATCCCTAAATTTGGTCCTAAAAGGAAGAAGAAATGAGATGGAGCATATAGGATAAAATTCAGAAATAACATTCGGATATGTTTTAAGATAATTTGGCAATAAAAAAGCTCAAAGTTTAATGATTATTCTTAAGACCTTATCAAAATGAACTTCATTAATACATGCTTCATCAGTTCTCCCTCAAAGAACTTTCAACAGCTTATAGAGCTTTTACTTACGGAGATTTATTAGTGTCGGCTTCACCTCATCCTGATTGGACACCCTGGCATTCTTGGTCCACCCCAGTTTCTGTAGTCGCTTTAATGTCCCCATTGATTCCACTGGGTCACAACCTGATTTAATAGCCTAGCACAAACACAGCTCAAGATAAAGACAAATTATTCTTCATAAAAGATTTAATATAAAATATGTCAAGATCATAAAGGTGGGGAAATTAATAATGTGGCCTTAAAACCTGAATTATTTAAGTGATAACTTGAAAGCACACTACATTTTTTGAATTCAAATTTGTAAAATAGGGTACAGATTACCAGTTAAACTAAAGCAATACAATTTTTACCAATTGTCATAGCTCAAAATGTAGCAAAGTGGATTGAATCCAGAGTAATCTGAAAATGACTCACTACTGCCCAATGTGAAATAGTAGACAGGAACAAGGCCTTTGCAGCATAATATAGATGCAACTATAGGTTTAAAGTTGTCCTTGTAACTGTTTAAAATGAACTGATGCTATGCAAAAAAAGGTCCAGTTCTTTGTGTCAGAAAAAGCAGAATTTAATTTTTTTAACTTTCATTCCAAAAATTATTGTGAAAATAGCATTTTGTTTCAAGTATGAAATGTTTTCAAATGACATTCTTCCCTTTAAATAACCTCTTATTTTCAAAAAGATATGCATTAACAGAAGCAAAATATAGTCACAGTGTGCCACATTATATTGGTAAATCACCATTAGTTGTTTATTATGGCAAAAGAGTAAAAGAAAATATTTTTAATAACAAAATTTCTTTAAAAGATGCAGAAACATATCCCACTTCTTTGGGAGATAATGCTTTGTATGCCAAATTTTATACTAATTGTTTAAATACTTATATTCTTCTGTGCTTTCTAGATATGAAAATGCATACATATATACATTCATAAAGATATCCATATATGAAGAAGAAAGGATATGTATACATATGCACACACAACATATATATATACTCATCTACATCTAATCTACATATACATATAATAGATATAAATTTTCTTAAAAGTCTAGTCTCTTAATCACCCCCCTCAGCTTTTACCTCATTCTTTTCTTTGAACAGCTGATTAATGGCCACTAAACAGATACAGAAATTTTCAAAAAGTGATTAAGTTTCTTCATTAGTATTTGAATGAGATACATTTATAATAGAGCTTTCCAATCTGCTGAGAGTGACTATAAGCTCAAAGAAATATTTGGAAATAAAGTTCTCTGACATGCAAACATTTCCAGAATTTATCATCAGATTTTATTTTGGTCTTTAAGATTGACTTTGAACAACCAATATAAACTCATTGTGTTTCTACATAATGGTATCGAAGTAGGAAATGTGGATACCAATTTGCATTAAATAAATGGGAAAACTGAAATCATTTTAACCTTTCAGGAGGGTTGTGATTTCATAGATATGCAAAATCTTCCCTCTCTTTCCAAAGGTCATGTTGGTTCCATAGATTTTCTATTTCTATGTATTTCCTTGTATTATTTTCTCTGTTTTTTCAGTGCTTTCTGAGTTATTCAGTTTGTATAGACCTTTCAGAACTCAGGAAGAGCTATTTTCTAATCTTTAGCTCCTTTCCAGAAATAATAAGCTGACACTGCACAACCACTTTTCCTCTCTGTGCTTCTTTTCTTATGGCAACCTCCTTCTGCGACAGTCATGGCTTAATTACTCCACTGAAGTTCTGGCTTGAAAATTGCCTTCTCTCTTTTCTTTCTTTATGAAAACAGACTTGCATATGATTTAGGGAAAAGTATTATGTATCATGGAAGCTGAACTTCATATTAATGTCTTCTGCCTAGGAGAAAGAAAAGCGTTTGGAAGGTATCTAAACTTATGCTTGAGATCTCATGGCCCAAGGATTTTAAAACAAGCTGGCCTCCAATTATTTTGTTCACACTGTAGGACAGCCATTTTGAAGCACAACACTGTTAACTTTTGTATGTTTATTCACTTGTCTCTAATTGAGTAACTTAGTCTACTACCTTTTATTCATGTTTTAATTCCACATGCTCATGACAGTGCATGGCTTAATAAATGTTTGCTGAATATAAATATGCTTCTGGTTTTGTGCACATAATTTTATACCAAAAATATTATACATAGCACATAATTTTATACCAAATTTTATACCAAAAAGATTACACAAGAGTGGGTACGTTCTGGACAAACTCTTGTCTTTACGTAGTTTATACTTGAGGGACAAATGTTAGAGTTGATATCATGATTAAAAAAAAAAAAATGAGGGCCAGAGGTTTAGCTCAGTGGCACAAGTGCCTGCCTGGCAAATGCAAAGTGTAAGATCATGAGTTCAATCTCCAGTACAAAAAACAAAAGAAAAAAATCCCCAAAGAACTAGGGAGTAAGGATCAGCTATGGTTTAAAAAAAAAACATGAAAACTATTAAAAAGAAATCCTCTAAAATATTTTCAAAATAACCTTGTTCACCTTGATGTCCTTATATGACATTTAAGTTTAGTCACTGAATGTGATTAAAATGTGTAATCACATTCTTTTTAATTCTAAATATGTTTCCAGAAAACTTCTTCATAAATGAACCTTAACATTCATCCAATTAAAAACTTTATTTAATATTATTATAAGTTAAGCACTATCCCTGGGGATGTCACCGTAGATGAGTGACATAAGATCACTGCTTTTAGGGAGTCTATATTCCGGGGGAAGATGATTGAGAACAAATGTGTAAACACACACAAAAATATGAAATAAAAAGTACGAGGCTATGAACTAACAGTCTGAGTGAGGACATTTAGGATGGTTCACTAATTTAAATCAGGTGTTTAGAAGAAGCTTCACTGAAAATACTAAAATTGATTAATAAGAAAGAATCCGACATAAAGTTCTAAAAATGGTTTTGAATTTAACAAATGGTCAACAAGATACCACCTGAGCCTTAAGTAACAAAACAAAAGAACAATAAGAACAAAAATAACAGAAGAAGAAAGCTTGGAAAGTGATACAATCTCTGTGAAGATTCTTCAACTGGAATTTCTGGAAGAATTATTAATGGGTGCCCAAAAGATAAAGAAAGGAAGAATACCATGTATGAGAGCAAGGGTTAGCAGGAGTATCTCACGGAGTCTTTTATAGAGTAAGCTGAACTGTAAATACGTAATACCTAAAGGGAGCGACACATGGGGTTTACATGTTCATTCATCACCTCTATATTTAATTTTTATATCTTCTTTTTCAATAAGTTCTTCCCCATAGCATTCAGATATTCTCTGTCCTCATCCATTGTTCGTTGCCTTTTTGCACATCACTTTTCCTGCTCTTTCTGTAGGCGTGCATCTCGAGAGGTTAACTGTGTATGCTTCCTTTTATTTCACTCCTTTATTTTCCATCCTTTCAATCCACCTTAACTAGTTATCGACTAGTGTTTGTCTCTACAACCCCATTTATGGCCCCCGGAACCAATCTCAAATCCTTTATTCCTTCATATTCAGCAATGTTGATCACAGTCACCTTATACAAGCGCTTTCGTTTCTGGGCTCCTGTGACAACATGTTACCTCATGTTGTCCTTTTTTGCCTTTGTTCAGTTGTTTCTTTAAATATTTAGTGCTCACAATAGAAGTGCTCACAACTTCTACTTCTTGAAATTGTATGTTTAAATTTCCTTAGGACTGTTTCTGGGTCCTCGTCTGTCATTATCATTCTCACCTATGTGCATATATATACATGTGCACACATACACACACATGCACACCTTTAATGAATCATTTATATGTCTACACCTCAATTTATATCTTTTTGTAAGCCTCTATTTACAGCTTCAGATTCACATATCCATCAGTCTCTTAGAATGATTTATAAGGAAAATCAAGACTTCTAAACTTTTCCCAAACGTTTCTCAGTCTTCTTTGACTTAGTTAATGTCAACTGCATCCACTCAACTGCATATCTCCTAAAACAGACTATATAGAATTTCACCTTTGCATTATCTCTTGGATTTGTGTCCTGAAAACTCTCATTAAAACTACCGCCACCTGAGAATTGGTTTTATTTTAGCTGTCATACTCATACAGAACTCTTTCAAAGATGCAAGTCTCAGATGTGAAGGAGATCAGGCTGTGACATCTGTCACCCCATTGATCACCAGAGTTGATTCAGCTGATCTGGCTGTCCGCGCAGGTGTCCTCTTTGTCTCTCAGTGCTCCATGTGTTTCGCTTACAGAGCTGCATGCGTGATAGAAGACACAACCACCCCTGCCTGTTAGAGGAGGACAGTTCCTCAGTCAAAGGAATGAGCAGTGGAGACCTCTCACTAGAACACCCAAACAAGCTTTCGAGTTTCATTTAAAGATGCAAATATGCATCCAAATAGAAAAACATGACTGTCAATGTAATTTATATATGTATATATCTAATATCTATATATCTTTCCTATATATTTGTATCTATAAATGTAAATAGCTTTTTTCATTTTGCCAACACTTCTTTAAATAATGTAAAATTTTTGTTAGAAATGCTAGATTAGGCCGGGCTCACGCCTGTAATCACAGAGCTCGGGAGGCTGAGGTGGTAGGATGATTGCGAGTTCGAGACCAGCCTGGGCTACAAAGTGAGCTCAAGGCCAGCCTGAACTGCACAGCAAGACCTCATCTCTAAAAAGACAAAAAAAGAAAAAAAAAAAAAGAAAGAAAGAAATGCTAGATTAAATGCATCTCATTTTCTGACATTTTTCTTTACTATTTGGGTTAAATTTTTGAAAATGTCATCAATGAATTATTAAACTGGGTTATCTTAAAATCATTTTCTATGACCAGGGATATAAATTATTGGACAACTACTCTTCTACCTATTTAGAAAGTGAAGAAATTCTAAGTGGTTCAGGCAAAAACCAATAATTTATCAAAATGAAATTGAAATTAAACTCGTGTTTTCTAACTTTGTATCCAACGTTTTTTCTTACAAGTGTTTTGGAACTAGTTACCTAATATTACAAGTAAATGAAAACAGCCACATTCAGGTTTTTGACCTTATAAAATCAGTATGGGTTTCTAATACAGATGACAAGGACTAGGCATATACTCTCAGATTCATGGGTCCACGGAGAACTGAGTCTTATGAAGAAGCACTAAATCTAGATGACTGGTCTGAATCATGTTTTCTTTACCTCATAATATAAAAAGGATTCTGAAAAAGGATTATAACAGACCTTAAATAAAGCATAAAAACTCCCTTTTTCATTCTTTGATTCTTAATGTTCAGATTTAGAAAAACTTCTCTCTAGAATGTTATATTTAACAAGTATTAAAATAGAAACCTCTGATCACCTGAAATCTGTTTCTTCAATAACAAAAGGAATAGAGTTTTTAAGTTAATATTTTGGGGTTTTTTTCTAAAGGAAATTGTAATAAAAAACCTGAAGTGAAACTTTTAGGTATTTTGCATTAACAATTTTCTCTAAATTCCCTAGTCTTATAACTACTTATTTCTTAAAAATGTACCAAGCCATAAGACTTTCGAAATTATATGTTACATATTCAAAATAAATCAAGTACAAAAACAGAACCTATATTTATAAAATGTATGATATAGTATAAATGACTTGTTTATTTTATATATACTATGTCTAAGTTTTCTATAGTGTATTATAGGATAATGCATTACTAGTTATAGAAGTAATATATTACTTCAATAACAGGAAGAAGTTCTATAATCTTAAAGGTATTTGGAATGCATATTTCAGTAATCAAATCTGTTCCTGTCAAGAAAAAGATAGAATTACTCAATTATTCTACTGTGAATTCATTGCTACCTACTTAAAAGGAAAATTATCTAAGGATTGAACACAAAAGAGAAAGTTATGTTCCCAATGAAACAGAAATAAACAATAAGCATTAAATGATAAATTACTAAACTTCCAAATCTATTCTCTAAATTTTTATACAAAGTGACTAGTCTCTTCATGACCCAAAACATACTCTAAAAATATAATTTGTAAGGTTACAATGGCCAATTAACATTGAGCAACTCAATAAACAGTAATAAAATCAGGAGGATTATGAACTCCAATCAGTCCATATAATTGACATGAGAGCAAACATTTCATTTCAGAGGTTTATTTTACTGTTTCTTTGAACTATCTAAGTAAAAAGACAAATTGAAAACCATTTTACAATCAAATATATTCTCCTACAAGGCCTGTAACACATTTATGTATTTATTCATTCAACACATTTACTTACTGAGGAGAACGAGATATTTTGTCTGCTCAATACAAGTGCTAAGAAAGGCAATCTGCTGTGGGAAAGTGAGCCCTTTGGCTTTCCATTGCAGCTTTACACATTTGTTTGCCTTAAAGTGTTCAATAAACAATTTGAACTGAACACTGGGCCAAAAATGCATTGGAATAAAAGATTAATCTGTGTCCTAGGAAACATACAAAAAAATTTGATAGTTATTCACAGGAGAGAAAGATGGGAGTGGGGAAGTCAATGTGCTTGGCTAGAGGATAGCAGGCATTTGAACACCCAAGCAGTATAACTTTGACTAAAATAGACAAGTGTCACGATGTAAATACGAGCTACATACTCAAGGCCTAAAACAAATTTCTAGGTCCTTCTCCTTCTCAGACCAAGTTTGAGGTGTTTGATTCTGGGTTTGTGGCAAGATGCCTCCTGACAATGTAAAAAGGACAGGTATTTCTTAGAAGTCACTCAGGCTCTATTTTTCATTGCATAGAGAACCTGCTACTTCATAACCATCTTTCCATACTTCTTGGGCAAAGCTAACAGTGCTTTTGTTCCTTCTCCATCAGAAGCAAGTTAATCTTGATGTGGAAGCCCTGGCAAGCCGGAAAAAGTATTTAGGATTTCCACAGAGATGCACGGGCAGGTTGTATCAGTTTAAGGGAACAAGCCACCAAAGTGACATTTTCTTACTTCTGTGTAATACATGTTTGGAATATATGACTGCTTGTACTGTGGATATTTGGCATATAACGTGATGCATCTTAATTCATTTTTATGTCTGCTTCCCTTCCCTCTTCCTTCCCTCCACATTTTTCGTCCTCTTCCTATCTGCAAATCTGCCTCCCTGTTTCTTGAAATATTGGCAAAGTTTCTACAACTCTTCAAGACAGCATTTCTCCTGTTAAGCACACTTTTCATTTCCTAGTTTAAAAAAAATGTGGATTATTTGAGAAGTAATATGTCAATTGATTTTATTAAGTACCTATAAGATTTTTAATAACAAAAGCTATGGATATGGGAAATAATGGAAAAAATCGACCTTTGTATCTAGGAATTAAAAGTTAATATATATGTGAAATATCAAAAAAAAAAGATGAAATAAGCAGCCCTGCTTAGCAGATAAATGACTGTTCTGCTTTGATGTCCTGCTTTGTGACCATGTGAACGTTTGCAAGTGGCTTCTTCTGCCCTTGAGTTCTTTGTCAGTAAAATAAAAAGTTGAATCATAGGAACTCGTTGCCTGTCAATACATCCAGGTACATGAGACTAGATAAGTATTAGACTAGATAAGTCTCCTTCCATTACTTCACATAGATTCTTAGATTATAGAATACGATCACAATGTTTAAAGAAGCTACTATAAATCACAGATCACTAGAATTTGAGGAAATCCTTTCATAGTACAGCAGCTTACTTCAAAAATGAGGAACGAGGACAAACAAATGTGAACTCAGTGATGTGAGAGTAGAGTCAATGGTATAGATCTCAGCGCAGCTTCCCTATTCTCTAAGTAGTTAAGGTGTTTCCTAGTCCTCCCAAATGCATGCCTTTAGTTTCATTTGGGATTATTTTTGTACTCATTGATTGATTTTTTCATCACAGCTCTTTGACACTTAGCTAGTTATTTAAACTCAAAGGCATGAAAACTACCAAGGGCAGAGCTCAATAATTTTTAAAGGAAGAGAAAGAATATTAAATAGTGCACTTTTCCATGTTAGTGTGGCTACCATTCCTTAGAGAAAACATTATAGCTAAGAAAGAAAAAACTTACAGAAAATTAGATGTTAATAACATGCTGCTCCTCTTTGAGAAAAGGGAGCTCTGAATAAAGATAATACCTATGCCTATACTAAGATAAAAATATTATATTCATGCTTACATTAGGAAATATGACTCATGAAAAATAGTTACTGGCACAAAATCCTGCAAGTTTGTGCTATATGGTCCCTTATCCTGAAACAATAATCAAATAAATTGTATATTTAACTTAAGTTGTCTCAAACCAGAGCTACAACTAGGACAGTTTATCCAAGTTCAAAACCTACGATAGTCACTGGTGTCCGTGCCTACCCTGGGAATTTGCCAGACCTTCTAAGACATGCACTTTCCATGAACTTTTCTGTACAGCAATAGGTGCACAGGGAAAATCAGGTGCTTGATGTAGTATGGGGATTTTGATGTCATGGAGTTGAAACACTAAGAAGATAAACTTCTGGATTTTATTAAAGTTCCCTTATATTCAGGAGACATTATTAAATTTTAGGGTAAACTTTTACCTAACCACTTCATCTTTAGGGAATAATTTTATGTTTTTCTTAGAATGACAAAAGTATGTTTTTTCCAGAAATATTTCCATGTGGCTGCTGAAAAAATATATTAAATAACTACAGGAAACAAGGCTCATTAAAATGAGGAGAAACCAAGCATGACCGTAAACTCCTACAGCCCACTACTTGGGAGGCTGAGGCAAGAGGATTGCTGCAAGTTCAAGCCAGTATGGGCTACATAGTGAGTTCAAGGCCAGTCAGAACTTCATAGTGACATCTTATCTCCTAATAAATACATAGGTAAATGAAAATTGAGAAAGTGATGCAAAACTCATTCAAGTAGGAAAATCTGTGGGAGACAATCTCACTATTTCATTGGCAACAGGTTGAACTTGTTTGTGTCCAGTACCCTTTTTATCCAAGAGAATGACAAAGAAACAACATTAACATTATTTGAAAAAAACAAAACAAAACAAAAAAAATCAACAAAATCATCAGAATAATAAAGTGTTCAACATCTTAATTGTAGTAATTAGCCTGTTATGGAAATGTACCAATAATGTTTCACCAATGGCTTCGCCTGTAGATGCGGGTATATGAAAGTTACTATGGAATGTGAGAATACTTAACATATATATATATTATATGCTACATCTATAAGTTACATTCATCCAGGTCCCCTCAATTACTGCAATCCCAATCTGTGATCCAAAATCCAGAAGAAGGTTAGTTTTATGAAGCAATCTACTCTGTAACTTTTCAGTGTGCTGCATTATTTGAACATAGTAGATACTCACTTTTGAAACTTAAAAGTTTAAACAGAAAGGTAATGTAATTAGGAATTAGATAGCTCCTATTATGTTGCGAGCACATTTACTAGTATCTGTCAGTGTAAGCACTTTATTGTCAGCTCCAACTTAAAAAAAGAAATCCTTGTACTTGGTAACATGCACAGTTGATACCAGTGGCAGGGGGCATTAACAGAGTTAACAGAGAGAAAAGATGCTGCAGTCTGGATACTGCCTTCAACACATGCTCCTTCATTCGCTAGAACCTCATGCACAATATGCCCATATTAAAAGGTAGACAGACACAGTGTCTCTCATGAGGTCTTCACTCTCATAAATATGATTAGTGCTCTCACTAAAGAGGGTGAAAGGAGTTGGGCTTTCTCCCTTTCAAA